CTGCCCACCAGTGATGTATCCACCCTGGCTTTGGGGTGCCTCATTGTCTCCCTTCTTCTGTTTGTCTGTGTATTCTTTCGCTATCCCTATCGCCGCTGGATCTCCCCTCAACGTGAACCAAACACACGTGACAATTATGTCGGGGCCAGACCCCGGCAGCCCGCCATGTGGATGTGTCCTCCATCCAAGCTCATGGCATCAGCATTTCCCTACATGATCTGGGTGATGCAGTCCTTGGTGGTAGCAGCCACGATGCAGGACACTTTCCCTTTGCTGTGGTAGTGCCACTGGGTGCACTTGTGTTGCTCCTGGGTGCCCACAGCACACCATACCACCCTTAAGCACCGTGCCTCTGCCACCGCTGCCTTTTCCTTCAGGTTCCTGAAGACAGTGCGGTAGCTGTAGTCGACGTACAGACCACAGTCTATCTTTGAGGGGATCCTCAAAAATCCAAGGGCAGAGTCCTTGAACAGCAGGTTCTTCTTTGAAGGAGGGGAGACAAAGAGCTGGAATGCTGGTGGCCTGCTTTTTCCAAACCTTTCCATATTCTCCAGGACGGCAGCTGGGTTTCCAAGCCATATATTCCAGGAAAACCCTAGTACCACATACAGAGTCAGGGCAGTCCTGGGAGGGGCACTTGGAGATACTATAAATCCTGGCACCCTCAGGCTACTTGAGGGAACAAGGGAGAATTACGTCCAGGAAGCACTGGGGCCCAGAAGCAGAGAAAGGCAGCACAGGGGCCTCCAGCAGGACAGAAGCTGAGAGGTCTGGCTGCACCAGGACAAATACAGAGGACCAAATGCATGGGGCTTCAGCCCTCTATCACCTCCTGGCTGTCCCCTGGTGGGAAAGATCCTATTCTACCTTTTGAAATGATGGAACATCGATCATTTCTTTTTGGTACAATGACTCTGTATATTCCTTCTGTCTTCTTTTGATGCTTTTTGCACCATTCAGCTTTTTGCCATAGAATCCTTCAATATTTCAAGTCAAAGCTTGAGTTTTTTTCTTCAGTTCTTTCAGCTTGAGAAATACTGAGCATCATGTTCTTCCCTTTTGAATTTCTAACTCCAGGTTTTTGCACATTTCATTATAATATTTGACTTTGTCTTCCTCCAATCTTGGAGGAAGCTGATCTTTGAAATTTGCTGTTCAGCTCGTTTACTTCCTCATTTTTTTCATTTGTTTTGGCATCTCTATGCTGGAGAGAATGATTCAGAGTCTCTAGTGACATGCCTTTTGGTCTTTTCTTTTCTGTCTTATATTCTTAATGACCTTTTGCTTTCTTCCTGTATGATGTTCTTGCTGTCATCGCACTAGTTTTCTGTTTTCTGGTAATTAATGTTGAATGCATCAAATCCGTTCTTGAGATGATCTCTAAATTCAGGTGGGAAATATTCAAAATCGTATGTTGGATCTTGTGGACTTGTTTTAATTTTCTTCAGCTTCAGCCTGAACTTATATATGAGCAGTTCATGGTCTGTTCCACAGTCTGCCCCTAGTCTTGTTTTGGCTGATGATATGGAGCGTTCCACTACCTCTTACCACAGATGTAGTCAATTTGATTTCTATGTATTCTATCTGGTGAGGTCCACATCTACAGTCGTCTCTTATGTTGTTTAAAACCAATATTTACAAGAAGAAGTCATTGGTCTTGCAAATTCTATCATGGGATCTCCAGCATTGTTTCTATCACCAAGGCCATATTTTCCAACTATTGATCATTTTTGTTTCCAACCTTTGCAATCCAATTGCCAGTAATTATCAATGCATTTTAATTGCACGTTTGATCAATTTCAGACAGAAGAAGTTGGTGGAATTCTTCAATTTCATCATCACTGGCTTTAGTGGTTGGTATATAAATTTGAGTGGCGTTGAATAGCCTTCGTTGTAAATGTATGGATATTATCCTATCACAGACAGTGCTGTAGTTCAAGATAGATCTTGAAATGTTCTTTTCGATGATGACTGCGACGCCATCCCTCTTCGGTTTCATTCCCGGCATAGTAAACCAGATGATTGTCAGATTTGAAATGTCCAATATCAGTTCATTTCAGTTTACTAATGCCTAGGATATTGATTATGGGTTCCATTTCATTTTTGAAAATTTCCAGTTTTCCTACATTCATACTTCATACATTCCATGTTCAATTATTATGGGATGTTAACTGCTGTTTCTTCTCCTTTTGAGTTGTGTCCCATCATCAATAAAGGTCCAGCGGGCTTTACTCCCATGGGCTTTACACCATTTGCATTATCACAGTCAACTCTCCTTTGAGGAGGCCGCTCTTCTCCAGTCGTATTTTGAGTGCCTTCCAATTGTTTTCTGGCACTATATCTGACAATAATCTGATGATCTTTATCATATTTCAATATGTAATATTCTGGCGCCTACAGTGTTCCACTGTTCATAATGTTTTCAGTGACTATATATTCTGAGCTAATCAGTCTCTGCTTCTTCCTATTCTGTCTTAGTTTGGAAGCACAACTGAAACCTGCCCACCATGGATGATCCTGCCAGTATTTAAAATACTGGTAGCATAGCTTCACAGCAACATGCAAGCCGCCAAAGTATGACAAAAACCACAGATCAGTGGTAGATTAATAGAATTTTGTAAAAAAAATAAGGGCTGCCTGAAGCACACACACATGAGTTATCCATTGAAAACATACAAATAGGTGTATCAAGGATTTCTGCATTTAGAGAGCGCTTACAAAATAATATGGTTCTAAAATACAACAAGGTAAAGTTCAAGGAAAGGTTTCTTGAGTTCTAACTGCACATACACAGATATTCCTTAATAATTAATAAAGATAAGTACACAAGTATTCTTAAATGAGCAGAAGAAAAACATTCCTGAAATTCCAGGTCACTATATTCTGTTTGCACATTCATCCCCCATTATAAACTATACATAAGTTCCTCAGGAAACTTTTGGCCTAAAGACATAATAAAGTCATACTTTGAAATATGCTTAAGCAGGCAAAATCATAATAGATAAATGAAAATTATATACTTTTGTATACCAAAAGACTTTATTTTTAAATTGCAAAGAAAACCAACAGACTGGGGTGAAAGTTTTCAGGATCCATATATCTAATAAGGATCTAATAACATCCAAAATATATTTATAAGAAACAAAACCAAAAAAAAAAAAAAAAATTCTACAACAGAAAAACAACCGAACCCAAATTTCAGCAGAGGACTTGAATAGGCATTTTACCAAAGAGAATATTCAAATAGCCAACAATCACATGAAAAGACACTTATTGTCACTAACCATTCCAAACCCACTGCCGGGGAGTCCATTCTGACACACAAACACACCCTATAGCATAAAGTTGTTGTGGTAAAGTGCTGTCGAGTCTGTTCTGAATCACAGCAAACTTGTACAGGGTTTCCAAAGAGTGGCTGATGGGTTTGAACCATCAACTTTGCAGTTCAAGCCGACCTTGTGGTCCAGTGCTTTATCGTACAGCACAACACTATACTCCACAGGACAAAGTGGAACTGCCCTATGGGGTTTCCAAACATGTAAATCTTTCTTCCATGGAATCGCTGGTGCGTGTAAACCTTTTGGTTAACAGCTGAGTGCTTAACAACTGCACCACCAGGGCTCCTCAATAGCCATTAAATAGATGCAAATCAAACCAAAAAGAGATACTACCTCCCCCGTATTAAAATGCCAATGATTGGGAAACGGGGACTGGACAACTGATGCTGGCAAAATTATAGAGAAACTGGAATCCTCATCCACTGATGGTGGGAACATAAAATGGTACAGCCACTGTGGGAAACAATTTGGTGGTTCTTCAGAAAAGCTGAACACAGATTTGCCATATGACCTAGGCATCCCAATCCTAGGTATATACCTAGAAGAAGGGAAGGCAGTACTGCAAACAGAAATCAGTACAGCAATGTTCACTGCAGCATTCTTCACAACAGCCTAAAGGTGGAAACAACCAAGATGTACATTATCAGATAAATAAATCATTAATCAACACAATGGAATATTATTCAGTCATAAAGAAATAAGAAGTCTTGATACATTCCACCACGTGGATAAACCATGAAAACATCATGATGAGTGAAATTCAGTCGGTGGTAAAAGGACAGATAAAACTATCTCATTTATGTGAAACAGACATATAAAAACCAAAGATTGTTAGTGGTTACCAAGAATGGAAGGGAAGGGATAAGGGGGAGCTTTTGCTTTATGGATATTGAGTTTGTTAATGGTGATGAAAGGTTTTGGAAAAGAAACTCAAGAATGGCTGCACAACTTAAGAATGTAATCAGTGTCACTGAATTGTACATATAGAAATCGTTGAGTTAGTGTATATTTTGTTATGTATATTTTCACCACAATGTAAAAACATTTTAAATACATTTAAAAAACACTTATTCATTGTGAAAGTATTACTCAAGCTAAGTCAGAATATAAAAATAAACAGTATGGTATATTGTGTAAGGTGAAGGTAACTCAAAGATATAAAATTAGCTCAGTGCTTTGAGAATTCAATTACATCTCTCTCAGAGTTCAATATCCTTTAAAACTTCTAATGTTCTGCTCAAGATAATTATTTTAAATCATTGTTATATTTCTACAATCAATTGCCTATCAATCAACTGTCTCCATTTTCTTGGTTTCAACGTGTTATAAAATCACAAGGTATGAAGACATAATAATAGTAACTCAAAATTTCAGTAAAGTGAACTTAACTGATATACCAAGTTACTCTTTTCTTGAACAAGCAAAACAAGACCAAAAAAAAAAAAACAACCCCAAAAATGAAATTTCATAATGGAATGTAAGGAAGTATAAAATGTAAGAGTATATGTTATGCATAGTATATACAATTAATAAAACCATTTTACTCACCAATTCCATTAAATCTTTTAACTTTCCAATTTCTTCTGGAATGGATACCAGTTTATTATTACTGACAACCAAAACTTTAAGGGGGAGATCAAACAGGTATTTTGGCAATGTTGATAAAAGATTTCGACTGAAAAGAATAAGAAAGTTTCATTATAAAAGTATGTCTGAAATTCCATACGTTGTGGAGGAAGAAAACAGGTCACATGTAATGTAAATAACTCTTAACCCTTCACTAAACAACCATTACTTAATAAGTGCTTACTTTGTACCATATATGGTGCCATATCCTATATGCACAATTTCAGTTAATCCTGCCATTAAACCCACAAGATACGTAGTATTAGCTCCACTATACTCACAAAAGAAAAAAATTTAAAAATCAAAGGATAAACTGGGTAGGTGACTTGCCCAGGCATGGTGGAGATGCAAATATAAGTCTAACTACAAAGTTTGTGCTGTTACCAATGACCTTCAGACCATCACCAGTTCTCAGAATCCCAGACTGATTCTTCTGACTTGTAAAATGCCAGAGCCTTTCTCTTTGGTATAATTCCATTATATTCAACACATCCATGGCTCTTATTGGGAAAAATCATCAAGGATAAATTTCCACACAATATGGTCCTGGTGCTGTACAATAAGCACTGGAATGTTAACCCTAAGGTCGATGGTTCAAATCCACCAGCCGCTCTTTGGGAATCCTATACAGGATCATTATGAGTCAGAACTGATTTGATGGCACTTAACAACAATAGCAATGTTGACATTTATAAATAAATACATATATTCACAAACATGAAATGATCATTAATCCATTTCTTTTTGTTTCGGTTTCACCATTCTTATTTAACCTGTATGCTGAGTAAATCCAAGAAGCTGGGTTATATGAAGAACATGGCATCAAGATTAAAGGAAGATAAATTGGAATATACAGACGATATAACCTTGCTTGCTGAAAGTGAAGAGGACTTAAAATACTTACTGGTGAAGATTAAAGACAACCTTCAGTATGGGTTGCATCTCAATGTAAAGAAAACAAAAATCCTCACCAATGGACCAAGAAATAACAACATGATAAATGGAGAAAAGATTGAAGTTGTCAAAGACTTAATTTTGCTTAGATCCACCATTAACACTCATGGAAGCAGCAATAAAAAAATCAAAAAACATATTGCACTAGGCAAATCTGCATCTCAAGACCTCTTTAAATTGTTCAAGAGCAAAGATGTCAGTTTGAGGACTAAGATGCACCTGATCCAAGTCATGGTAATTTCAATATCCTCATAAGCATATAAGTTTGATACTGGATAAGGAAGACCATAGAAGAACTGATGCATTTGAGTTATAGTGCTGGAGAAAGAATATTAAAAGTACCATGGACTTCTAGAACAAACAAATCGGTTGGAATAAGTACAGCCAGAATGCTCCTCAGAAGCCAAGATGGCAGGACTTCGACTCACATATTTTAGACATTTCGGAGGGACCAGTCTCTAGAGAAGGACATCATGCTAGGTAAAGTCGAAGATTGGCATATAAGAGGGAGACCCCTAAGAGATGGATTGGCACTGTGACAGCAGCAATGGGCTCAAGTGTAACAACAACTGTGAGGTTGGAGCAAGACTGAACAGTGTTTCATTCTGTTGTGCATATGGTAACTATGCGTCAGATCTGACTTGATGGCGCCTTGCAATAGCAATCCTAGAAAAGCCTGTTAGTACCTTTATCTCAGCTCTAAATTGCGATAGTATTCCTATCTCCATGTTCACATTTAAAGATAACAACTAACATTTGTAGGGTATTTTGCCATGTGCCAGTCCATACTCAGAACATCTCACATCAACTAGAATTCTTGCCTTTTATGGGGAAGATTCTTGACCAATTCACCTTATGCACAACCACCAAACCTGCCAATGGATGCTCGTGTGTTGCTATGAAGCAGAACTTTCCAACTAAGATAGACTAGGAAGAAAGGTATGGCAATCTACTTCCAAAAATGTCCCATTGATAACCTATAATTAATAATGGTCTGATCCACAATCAATTATTGGGCAGCATTTTGATGCACTGTGCATGGAATCACCATGATTTAGGGGATTACTGGAGAGCAGTTAACCACAACAAACCTCTTTATGAAAATATACTAGTTACCATTGATTGATTTCCAGTTCATGGCAACCTCATGTATGTCAGAGTAGAACTGTACTCCATAGGGTTTCCCATGGCACCTCTGGTTGGACTCAACCCTTCAGTTTTTTGGTAAGAGTCAAGCATGTTAATCACTTTCAACACTCAAGAATTCCTGCATGAAAATAGGTATTATTATGGTCCTGGTTTTACATAACTAGAAATAGTCACAAAGAGGTTAAGTAACCTGCTCAAGGACACACACTGCTAAGTGTAAGAGCCAAGCTTCAAACCTAGAAAAGCTGGCTTTAGGGTCCTTACCCTCAACTAAGGTTAAATTTATTTGCCAATGAATGGAATGACCCATTGATCTCACTACCAATAATACAAATATTTTCACATAAATAAGTATTGACAAGCAATTAGTTACTATTTTTTTTCCTTTTTTTCTTCAAAATAACACAGACCTGTGCCTACCATTTTAGTATAACATCCACAGGAATAAAATCCTGATGTTTCTCCAAGAGGGGGATGGCTTCAATACCCTTCATCCCATTCTATCTCTTCAGAAAACATCCAGAAACACCAGGCTGGCATTGCATGGCACAAACTGACTTCCTTTTTGAAAACACAAACAAACAAAAAAAACCCACCAATGTATCTAGACTAGCACTCCTGGCCAAGCTGCTGGAATGTCAACCAAGCTACAGGCCTGTCACAACCTCTTGATACTTTCAGGGTAAAGTGGGCTCCTTGGGAAAATGACCTTCCTGGGTCCCTATACACAGAGCATGCATGTATATTTCTTTAGAATTATTCTACTGAAAAAGGAGAGTGTGTATACAAGAAGAGAGAAACTGCTGAAAAAGTATCTTACCAGTTTCTCAAGACAGTTCACCAAATAAAAATGCCATATACCAACTCATTCTATTCCTCTCTCAGGCTAAAGAAAAAAAAAAAAAAAAAAAGCAGATTCAGAGAGTAAACACAGTCCACTCTCTAGAATTTGACCCTATACGGACGATTCCTTCATATATAACTGATGAATACGTAATCTTCACTTTTTAAACTACATATTCGGAGACGAGTTACCAAAACATCTTTGAACATGATGTTCACAGATTACATATATGTATATAGATGTTGCTGACACTAAGTGCTGACAAGTTGATTCTGGCTCATAGCGACCCTGTATAGGGTTTCCAAGGAGCGGCTGGTAGATTTGAGCTCCCGACTTTGCAGTTAGCAGTCCAATAGCTTATCCTACAGCATTTTTTTTTAAAGACTGAAATGAGAAACAGGAGTCCACATTTAGAGATCTAAATATAAAAGAATCAAAGAAAGTTTATTAAACTATTCTAATAAACAGTTTTTATGTAATACTGTATAGATGATATTCCTTTTTGACAAATCACATTTTTCAATCTAATTTTTTTCCATAAAAGAACAAAATGAAACAAAAACAAAGACAACCTTTAAACATATCTCACTTGCCTCAATGCTTTCCCTCAAACCAGGCCCAGGACACACATAACCTATTTACTCCCAGGAGCAGCCCAAATGACTGATTTCTATGGAAGGAAATTTCTCTCATATATTTTCATGTACAACAGTGCTTTCAGTTAAGACAGAACATTCTGTTAGGTTACATCACTGGAAAAGACGTGTATTGCAGCAAGAAAAGTACATTATTTGTTTATTTTTATAGTGAATTTAGTGAAGGTTTACAGAGCAGATCATCAATTTTACATTCAACAAATCATACACTTTGCTTCATTACATGATTGCAACCCCTCCACGCACCAACAGTTAACAGCATTTACCTCTATTCACTACAACTGCATTCCTCCCTGTGTCTCCCATCACCCCCTCCGGTTGTATATTGCTAACCTCTGCTAACCTCCCTCCAGTTGTATATTGCCTGTATTATTTTATATATATATAAAATTATACTAATTTCCTATATGGGAATTCAGACAAGTAATATGGTTAATGGTGGTGGTGGTGGTGATTGTGTGCTGTAGAGTCGGTTCCGACTCATAGAGACCGAGGCTGTGAATGAATCTTTACAGGAGCCTCCTCTTTCTCCCACGGAGTAACTGGTAAATTCAAACTGCTGACCTTGTGACTAGCAGCCCATCTTTTAATTCACTACACTAACAGGAAACCTTAATTTGGTTAATGAGGGGGAAGAAATTACTTCTTCCAACTCAAACACACAGAGGCTTAATTATAAAATTAAGTCACAACAAACCAATTTCCATTCAATGTTTCTCATTAGGCAAGAAAATGTTTTTTCCTATACTTATTGAATATCCACTCTATAACAAATATAGGACAGTAGTTCAAAATGAGAGCTCTAGAACCAGAATACTTGCATTTGAACTTGGCCCCACCACCTGCGCCCTCTATATAATTTTAGGCGAATTGCTTAATATCTTGAATGCTTCAGTTTACTCATCTGTAATGCAAAGATTATAATAGTTCCTACCACAAAATATTATGAAAATTAAATGAAATGGTATGTTTACATTGTTTGGATCTTTGCCAGGCACATGGTAAGCACTTATTCTGTATTAACATCAAATGTCATCCATTCACAGATTCCCATACCATTGCATCCATCCTTGAAGTAGTAACAAGAAGTTTTTTGTTGTTTTTTTTTTAAGTGTGAAAAATATAACTCAAGCAATGTTTCTTTATAATGCTTCACTTTAACTGAAAATGTGACTGTTGTTACCTGCCATGGAGTCAATCCCAATTCATACAACACGGTCTAGTCTACACCGTCATTGCAATCATTCTGATGTTTGAGCCAATTCTTTCTGTCGTGTCAAGCCATCTCACTGAGTGTCTTCCTCATTTTTGCTGACCATCTACTTTCCCAAGCATACGGTCCTTCTCCAGGGACTGCTCCCTTCTTATAGTATGTCCAAAATACTCGTAAGTGAGATGAACCCTTGCCATTGTCTCTTCTAAAGACCATTCTAGCTGCATTCCTTCCAAGACAGATTTGTTTGTTCTTTGGTGGTCCATAGTATATTTAATATATTTCACCAATACCATAAATAAAGCACATCAATTCTTCTTTCAACTCATTTATTTGTTGTCCATCTTTTGCATTCTTCTTTCAACTCATTTATTTGTTGTCAATCTTTTGCATTCATATGCGACACCTGAAAATGCCTTGCTTTGGGTCACGCATACCTTAATCTTCAAAGTGACATCTTTGCTTTTGAACATTTTAAAACAGGTCTTTTGTAGCAGATGTGTGCAATTCAATACATCATTTGACTTCTTGACTTTAGTCTCAATGAGTGTTGATTATGGATCCAAGTCAAAGAAAATCCTTAAAAACTTCAATTATTTTCTGAATGCTGCTTATTAGTCAAATTGTGCGGGTTTTTGTTTTCTTGACATTGAGGCTGTAGTCTATGATCCTCTTCATCAAGTTCTTTAAAGACTCTACACTTTCAGTAAGTAAGGTGGTATTTTCTGCATATCACAGGTTATAAGCCTTCCTCCAATCCTGATGCCGTGTTCTTCATTATTTATTAAGCATACAAATTGAGAAGGATGGTGAAAGAATACAAGCCTGATGCACAACTTTCCTGGTTTAAAGTCACATATCATCCCTTATTTTGTTCAAATGACTGCCTCTTAGTCTATGTACAGGTTATGGATGAGTATAGTTAATGTTCTGGAACTCTTATTCTTTACAGTGTTTCCATAGTTGGTTTTGATTCACACAATCAAATGCCTTTGGCATAGTCAATAAGGTACAAATAAACATCTTTCTGGTATTTTCTGCTTTCAGCCAAGACCCAACGTTATCCCTCACTGTATGTTCTCTTCTGCATTCATTTGTTGAACCATCTCAACGGATGTTCCATGCATTCCTGAAGTCTTCTTGTTTGCGAATGCCTTCATTGTACCATGAATTTCTTCCTTCAATACCATCAGTTCTTCATCATATGCGACCACCAGAAATAGCTGAATATAGACAAATTGTTTCCATTACAGTGACTTTGTATTTCCTTTCATCTTCTCTTGATGTCTCCTGTGTCATTCAATATGTTGCCCACTGTTGTCATTGATAAGTGCCGCTGAGTCAGTTTTGACTTATAACAACCTTATATGGATTTTTAAAGGTATGGCTGGTGGGTTTGAGCCACTGACCTTGTGGTTAGCAGTCCAGTGCTGTTTCTACAGCACCACACATAGAATCCTTCAATAATGTAACTGGAAGCTTCAATTTTTCTCCAGTTCTTTTCAGTTTGAGAAAAAATGAATATGTTCTTCCCTTTTGCATTTCTAACTGCAGGTCTTCGCAGAGCTCAAAACGACTCTTTACTCAGTCTTCTCTAGCTGCCCTTTAAAGTCTTCTCTTTAACTCTTTTACTTCATCATTTCTGCCTTCAGCTTTAGCTACTCTATGTTCAAGAGCATGTTTCAGAATCAATTCTGACATCCATTTTGTTTTTTCTTTCTTTCTTATCTTTCTTAATGACTTTTTATTGTCTTCATGTATGTTCTTGAATGTCATCCCACAACTCCTCTGGTACAATGCTTTAATTCTGTTCTTGAGATGGTGTTTCAATTCAAATAGGATATATTCAAGGTCACACCTTGGCTCCTGGAGACTTGTTTTAATTTTCTTTAGCTTCAAGGTAAATTTGAATATGCGCAATTAATGGTCTGTTCCACAGTTGGCTTCTTACCTTGTTCTGACTGATGATATTGAGCTTCTATACTGTCTTTTTCCATGTGCATTCCCTCTGGCAAAGTCCATTTGTATAGTCACCATTTATGTTGTTGAAAAAAAGTATGTGCAATGAATAAGCTGTTGTTGGTCTTGCAAAATTCTGTCATGTAAACGCTAAATCTCCAGCATAGTTTCTATTACTAAGGCCATCTTTTCTAACTACCAATCCTTCTTTGTTTCCCATTTTTATACTCCAATTACCAGAAATTATCACTGATTCTTGATTGCATGTTTGGTCAACTTCAGACTGGAGAAGTTGGTAAAAATCAGTTTCCTCATCTTTGGCATTATGGTTGGTGTGTGAAGTTGAATATTAATAAAATTATATTTTTATAATTATATATTAAGCTCTGATAGAGTAATGGTTACGAGTCAGGCTGCTAATCTCATAGTCAGCAGTTTGAAACTACGAGCAGTCCTGTGAGATAAAGAAAGGCTTTCTGCTCCTGTAAACATTTACAGCCATGGAAACCCTATACTGGGTCGCTATGAGTCAGAATCGACTCCACGACACACTACCACCACCTACTATCAGGACAAGTTCAAAAGTCCATAAAATAATGTGAACTTGGAGGAAACACAAATACGATACTACTTATGAGATAAACGTAGGCTACAGAACCAAAACATGTTCCTTAGTTAATAAAAATAATTATTAAAGCCTTAATATAAAACAAAAGTTACCAAAGAAAACTGTTTCCTTACCTAATGTTAAGATATGTCAACATCTGAAGGTTTTTAATGGCTTCAGGAATGGTTTTGATGCAATTATGATATAAATTTAATATTTCAAGTGGTGCAAATAACCAGACATCAGAAGGAATTTCTGTAAAACGATTTCTTGAAAGATCTGAAAAATAAAAACAGTGTTGGAGTGTCATACATACACCAAATAAACATCATTGAAAAATAAGTTCAATGAAAACATGTTTCTGTTTATTAGCAATTTTTACTTTGTTCATATGCTTCAATATCTGTAAAATGCAATTTTTTTTTAAAACACCAATGAGGAATTTTCTCAGATCTTTAAAGACACACATATACAAATAAAACCTCCCTGATACCACACACACCCCCTACTTCTACCTCTCCCACTTTATGACAGACAACTTGACATAAATAATTATTCACACACATATCCATTTATTATTTACCATGGACTTCTCAACCACTCCAATTTGGTTTCTGTCCACATTCTGGCATGCACCAAGGTTACCAATAACCTCCATAGCAATAACTGCTCCTTCTAGCTGGAAACATTCTTTCTTTTTCTTGGAAGACTACATTTCTGGATTTCTTCCTATTACCACTCTGGCCACTATTCTGTGCCTTTGCTAGATTCTCTACCTGCACTGTAAATTTTTGTGTTCCTCATGGCTGTGATGTGATATAAGCAACTCCTTTCTTCTTAAGATATGTACTATATTAGATGATTTCATCCAATCCCAGACCTAAATTATATTTATACACTGACAAATCCCAGAGTATTTCAGGTCTACTGGACTTTTCCTTGATACCGCTTAGGTATCTCAGATTCTACAAGCGTAAAATCTGAACTGAACATCATCTGTTGTTGTTGTTGTTAGGTGCCACTGAGTTGGTACCGACTCATAGCGTCCGTATGCACAAGAGAACAAAACACTGCCCGGTCCTGGGCCAATCTCACAATTGTTGCCACGCTTGAGCGCATTGATGCTGCCACCTTGCCAATCCATCTCGCTAAAGAGGGTCTTCCTCTTTTTCTCTGACCCTCCACCTTATCAAACATGATATCCTTCTCCAGAGACTGGTCCCTCCTGACAATATGTCTGAAGTATGAGAGACGAAGCTTGGCCATCCTGACCTTCAAGGAGCACTCTGGCTGCACTTCTTCCAACACAGATCTGTTGGGTCTTTTGGCAGTCTATGGCACTTTCAATATTCTTCTCCAACACCATAATTCAAATGCATTAATTCTTCTGCGGTCTTCCTTATTTACTGTCCAGCTTTCGCATGCATATGAGGTTATTGAAAATACCATGGATTGGGTCAGGCACACTTTAGTCTTCAAGCTGATATCTTCTACACACTCATCATTTATGTCTCTAGTGTTGTCTATCTTGGACAATGTCACCAACATCCTCCTGGTGAGTTGCTCAAGCCAGAAATCTGTCCTTCATGAGTGTACTGTCCAAGTCCATAGGAATATACTTCCACTCAAGTTTCCACAAAATAAAATTATCAAATTATAACTACTCTTCCTCTGTAAAGCATCTTTTTATTCATTAAATGATTCCTGGTAGACTGACAAAAAAAAAAAAAAACCCTAACAGAGTGTTTCTTCATCACAGGATATTTAGCTTGTATATTGGACTATTTAGCAGCATCCCTGCTCTCTATTTGGTTGTTGTTGTTATTGTTAGTGCCAGCAAGCTGATTCCAACTCATGGCGATCCTGTATAGGATTTCCAAGGAGCGACTAGTGAGTTTGAACCACCGACCTTGTGGTTCAAACCGACCTTGCGGTCCAGTGCTTTATCCCACAGCGCCACACCAGGGCTCGCTATCTGCTAGATGTCAATAATACCTTCTAATGGCAACAACTAAAAATGTCCGTTGGAACACAAAGTCCCCCTACTCCTGTTGAGAACTGCTGCTTTAAACAATTCACAAACTGGCTACCTTATTACGGAGATACATTTTCTTCATGCTAATTCATTATAATTATCAGGTTAAAAATACAAGGAAGTTGTTTGCTCCGTCGAGACAAACATCAAGCCCACTATTGATTGTTGCTGCTGTTGTGCACCACACAGTCAATTAGGACTCATAGAGACTTGGTATAGGGTTTTTGAGGCTGTAAATCTCTATGGGAGCTGAAAGCCTCATCTTTTTCCCAAGCAGTGGCTGGTGGATTAAGACCACTGACCCTGTACTTAATGGTCCAATGTGTACCCCACTATGCTACCAGGGATCCCTTAGCCCCTGTATTATTTTTGTTAAGTGCCATAGAATCAGTACGAAATCATACTGACCCTGTGTAGGGTTTCCAAGGAGCAACTGGTGGGTTTGAACTGTCGACAATGAGGGTCAAACCAACCTTGCGTTTCAGTGCATTATCCGGCAGCACCACACTTAGCCCACTGCTGTTGTTGTTGTTAAGTGCCGTGAAGTCAGTTCTGACTTATTGCGACCCTGTGTAGGGTTTCTAAGAAGCAACTCATGGGTTTAAACTGCTGACCTTGTGGTTCACAGTTCAATGCCGATCCTACAGTGCCACATCAGAAGCCCACTGTAGCTGTATCATATTTAGCATCTATGTTCCTTCCAGAATCCCAACAACAGGCTTAGAAGTCAACTTCCCCACTCCATAAGATATGGACTTCGGCCAATATATTAAATTCTCTATTCAAAACATTAAAATATATAAGCACACACACATATATTTATACACATATAAGCACACACATACACATATAAAAACACATATATAAACACATACTCATCTTTCTCCCTCGGAACATCTGGTAGTTTCGAACTGCCGACCTTGCAGTTCGCAGCCCGATTCGTAACCGCTATGCTAACAGAATATTGAAGATTGAAACATGATGCTAAACACCAGGTAGCATAGCGGTTACGAATCGGGCTGTAAACTGCAAGGTCGGCAGTTCGAAACTACCAGCTGTTCTGAGGGAGAAAGATGAGGTTTTCTGCTCCTGTAAATATTTGCAGCCTCAGAAACCCTGTGCAGGGTCACTATGAGTCGGAACTGACTCCACGGTACTTAACAACAACAACAACAACATTGTCAAATATAGTGCCAGAAGATGAGCCCCTCAGGTTGGAAGGCATTCAAAATATGACTAGGGAAGAGCTGTCTCCTCAAAGTAGAGTTGAACGTGATGACACAAAGAGTAAAGCTTTCAGGACTTTCATTTGCTCATGGGGCATAAGACCAGTTAATACAATTATAATTCAAATTTACACACCAACCACTAAAGCCAGTAATGATAAAACTAAAGAATTCTACCAATATCTTCAGTATGAAATTGATGAAACATGCAATCAAGCTGTATTCACAATTACTGGTGATTCAAATGAAAAGGTTGGAAATAAAGAGGATGGTTCAGTAGGTGGAAAATATGGCCTTAGGGACAGAAACGAGGCTGGAGATCACATGGCAGAATTTTGCAACACCAATGACTTCTCCATTTCAAATAGCCTTTTAAATAACATAAAATACACATTGTTGTTGTTAAGGGCCGTCGAGTCGGTTCCGACCCATAGCGACCCTGTACAGGGTTTCTGAGGCTGTAAATCTTTATGGGAGCAGAAAGCTTCATCTTTCGAACTGTTGACCTTAAGTTTCACAGCCCGATTCGTAACCACTACGCTACACATGGACCTCACCAAATAGAATAACCAATACACAGGGACCTCACCAAATGGAATACACAGAAATAACATTGATTACATCTGTGAAAAGACACAGTCAAAACAAGGCCAGGGGCAGACTGTGGAACAGAACATCAATTGCTCATAATGCAAGTTCAGGCTGAAATTGAAAAAACTGAAAAGTCAACGAGAGCCAAAATATGACCTTGAACATATCCCACCTAAATTTTGAGATCATCTCAAGAACAAATTTGACGCATTAGACACTAGGGACCAAAGACCAGAAGAGTTATAGAATGACATCAAGAACATCATACAGGAAGAAAGCAAAAGGTCATTAAGAAGACAAGAAAAAAAAAAAAAAAAAAAATGAATGCCAGAAGAGACTCTGAAACTTGCTCTCCAGCGCAGAAATGCTAAAGCAAAATAAAGAAATAAGGAAGTCAAAGAGCTGAAAAGAAAATTTCAAAGGGCAGCTGGAGAAAACAAAGTAAAGTATTATAATGAAATATTTAAAGACCTAGAGTTAGAAAACTAAAAGGGGAGAACATGCTTAGTATTTCTCAAGTTGAAAGAACTAAAGAAAACATTCAAAGCCTAACTTGCAATACTGAAAAATGTGATAAGCACTGGACTCAAACCACAAGGTCTGAGGTTCAAGCCCACCAACCACTTGCAGGAGAAAGATGAGGCTTTCTGCTCCCGCAAAAAGATTTAAAGCCTCAAAAACCCTATACAGGGTTGCTATGAGTCAAAACGGACTCCATGTAACTTAACAACAACAATGGGCAAAATATTGAATGATACAGAAAATACCAAGAGAAGATGGAATAAATGTACAAAGTCACTGTACTAAAAGGATATGGTTGATGTTCAACCATTTCAAGAGATAGAGTATGATCAAGAGCCAATGGTACTAAAGGAAGAAGTCCAAGGTCCATTGAAGGTATTGGCAAAGAACAAGGCACTGAAAATTGATGGAATATAAATTGAAATCTTTCAACAAACTGATGCAGCACTGGAGGAACTCATCTATACAAAGAAATTTGGAAGACACCTACCGGGCCAACCAACGGGAATGCATCCATATTTGTGCCCATTCCAAAGAGAGGTAACCCAACAATATCATTAATATCACATGCAAGTAAAGCTTTACTAAAGGTAACTCAAAAATAGCTACAACAGAACATTGACAGGGAAAGTCAGGTGTTAAAGCCAGATACAGACTAGGACGTGGAACCAGGGATATCATTGCTGACGTCAGCTAGATCTTGGCTGAAAGCAGAGAATACCAGAAAGATGTTTGCCTATGCTTTATTGACTCTGCAAAGGCTTTCAATTGTGTGGATCATGACAAGCTCTGGACAACATTGCAGAGAATGAGTATTCCGGGACACTTAAATGAGTTTGTGGTGCCTTTAATTTACTTAATATAGCTTTTCTAATCCAAAGTCTTCTTAATTCTCACCAAGTATT